GGCACATGGGACCCAAGTGAAAGAGGGGCCCACTGTGCCCTGATAAACACTGCCCGCACGGAGTAAATAAAAACAAGTCAATTACATTTTCTTGGGGCTATAGACTTCTATTATGTTCCATGGTTTGAGCCTTCTGAAAGAACACCAAAACCGTGCTTTCAGTCATTGGTTGCAGAAAGCGCACCAAAACCGCAGGACATAATAGAAGCCTATGGCAAACTGCAGCTAACCCACATGAAAACTGCAGGTACACTGCCCTGCACATATGGTGCTGGAAAACCACACCACATTGGTTCAAAAGCGCTTTACTGGGGGGAGGGAAGACCAAAAGCAAATTTTTGGGTACAGGAAGGCTTTTAGTTTTTTTTAACCATGCCCCTCAAACAATTTTGCCATGCCCCCACCATTCGCTGCAGCTTTGGGGTGAACACCAATAGGCTGCGCATAATCTATAGTGTCTCTTTGACTATGATAAGAAAAATGGAGCTGCAGAATACACTGTCGCTTTTTAAATGTAAAAAAAAAAATGATTAAAAAGGAGATTACAAGAAAAATACATAAAAATGAGCACAATTATCCGTGAACAATTTCTTTGTTACCCCCTTTAGCTGTTCTGCATAGACATCTTCCCAGCACGTTTGATGCCTTTTATTATTTTCTCTGCTTTTTCACATAAGAAGATTAACATCATTTCCATGGAACCGTGAATGGAAACACAGCATCCCTCTCTGTACAGACATCCGTGCAGAAAGCTGTGTTCCTGTTCTCCTCATTTGATTTACATCTGGTCTAGGCTGATGTTGGATCAAACAGCAGAATGCAAGCATCATATTAAAATTTGTCAAAGTGAAGACAGCTGTTATACTTTCAGCTTAATGCCATTCATAAGCAAACATTCATTATAGAATGCAGGAAATGGACTAAAACAAGAACAAAATTTTATACTTTTCTGGCCTAAATATTGAAAATATTAGAAATCTTTTATTAAATCACCAAGGATTTTTTTTAGCTAGCACACTGACTTAAAGTTATCAATGCTAAAACTTAAGAGCTGTTTAGATGTTTAAAACTTTACCTATCGCTTACAGGGTGAAAAACTGTCAGGTTTTTATGGCAATCTGTGCCAGAGATATATATCCTTACTTCTTCAACCTTCCTGATTTGCAAGACCTGCACACATCATGTATGTACGTATCATGTGCATCATCACCTGTGTGTACATATACTGACACACTTTCACTTGCATGGAGATAAAAGCACCAGCACTCTTCACTGTGTAGTTAATTGGTGGGATCTTCTCTCTAGAGGCACTAGAAACAGACACAATCCAAGCTCTGGGCACTCTGGGCATTAGTGTTTTCTAACCATGCCTTTGACATCATCAAATGCTAAGTTTAAAAGGTAGCTCAGGTAGCTGTGCAGGTGTCTGAGCATAGATGACCTCAAAGGTCTCCAGATATGATCTCTAATATTCTGCATCTACTTTGCTGCACATTCATACGTGTTGTCTTATCATCGTTTGGGCCTTTGCATATGGATTTACATTTCTTTTTCTTGTTCAATCTTTTTCAAGGGCACATACAATCTGACAATTGCAGTATCAGATTATTTAATGCGCCATTCAATGCAATGTAACCACTGCAAATTACAGATTTTATAAACAAGATACAAAGTATCTATATAGCCATAATAACAAATTGAAATAAGTAAAGCTGTAGGAGACCATAATCTGGACTTGTGCACCTTTTTCATAAATTCAACTACCTGCATTCCCAGCAATGCCTCCATTTAATTTTGGCATTAAAGAAGACTGTTCATTAGGTATATAACCTTACCTGCTGATCTGTTGATTCATACCTAAATGCCTCTCCCTGGTTGTGAAATTAGGTGCTGTACCATTCCCTAGAAAATAACAGGTCTGCAATAATTGCCTTTGAACTACTCCCTTGCATGAAGCCCAATTTGTGGGCATCCCCATTGTGGAGCTTAAGCAGAGCTTAGTTGCTATCTCGCATTCTACTTTGAGCATGCTTCATTGCAGTACTGTTAATAGTTTACAAACATTCACACTAACATGCCCCCCTCCCCCTGCATGATTAGCTACACATAGAGCACAGCTACCTTACCAGCACTTACCTTGTCCTGTATTTGGATGACAACTCTAGTTATTGAACATTGTATTGTCCTCCATAAACCTGTCTGCTGCCACTTTGTGGCATGAACACCACAATCAACCTTGTGCAGCCTAATATGTGTGAACACATGAGGCATATTTCCGTTGCAATAGAGGATCTTCAGATGTTTGGGTTCAACTTGCGAATTTGGAATACAAGGGAAAAAAGGTAAGTAATGTCATTAAATGTCCCTTTTTCACCCAGATATTCTAACATGGCCATCCACACCGATGTCCAGGGCACAGAAAGCACCTAGGGTGCCTGCCATCTATGCAGTCGGTACAAAATTACATTTCTTAGCCTACACAATCCCCAGTCCACATCAACAGAATTGGCCGGTAGGGCAGCAAACACTGCTGGTGCTAAAACCTGAAGTAATGTCACAGTGATCTCACTCAATAAAACTAAAGTTTTCAACTCCCCTTATGTGCCCCAGAGTCATAGGGATTGATTTATTATTGATTTAGGCAAGACAGTGGGGTCCTGAGGCAGGTGTGGGGGGTGCGGCCCGCACTGGGTGACACCTACTGCACTGGGTGACACCGGCCCCACTCCATGAAAAGGTAAGTTGTAAAGCAAGCCGACGATCCCCGCAGGATGGATCCGATCCATCCTGCAGGGATTGTCGGCTTTCTTTACAACTTACCTATTCATGGAGCGGGTCTGGTGTCACCCCATATAGGTTGAATGGCGATGATCCCCGCAGAATGGATTGGGTCTGCGGATTAGGGAGGGCATAATGGATCAGACTCCAATCCATTATGCTCAATCTGCAGATCCGAACCATCCTGCGGGGATCGTCTGCATGCAACCTCGGTCTGGAGCTCCATGCAAGATTTCCCCTCTCAAGGCAGTTGGGACCACAGTCACCAAGCAAACCATTGGTAACATAATACGCTGCCATGGATTGAACTCCTGCAGTGCCTGCAAGGTCCTCCTCAAGAAGGTACATGTACAGACCCATCTGAAGTTTGCCAGTGAACATCTAAATGATTCAGAGAAGGCTTGGGAGAAAGTGCTGTAGTCAAAATTGGGCTATTTGGCACTAAACCGACTCGCTATGTTTGGAGGAAGAAAAATGCTGACTATGACCCTAAAAACACCATCCTTACAGTCAAACATGGAGGTGGAAACATTATGCTTTGGGGCTGTTTCTCTGCTAAAGTTACAGGCTGACTTTGCCACACTGAGGGGCCAATGGATGGGGCCATGTATTGTAAAATCTCAGATGAGAACTTTTTTCCCTCAGCCGGAACACTGAAGATGGGTTGTGGATGGGTCTTCCAGCACGAAAATGACCCAAAACATACTACCAAGGGAACAAAGGAGTGGCTCAAGAAACACATTAGGTCGTTGAATGGCCTAGCCATTCTCCAGACCTTAATCCTACAGAAAATTTATGGAGGGAGCTAAAACTTTGAGTTGCCAAGCAACAGCCTTAACAATTTAGAGAAGATCTGTGAAGAAGAGTGGACTAAAATCCCTCCTGAGATGTGTGCAACCAACCAACCAGTGTAACCAACTACAAGAAATGTCTTACTTCTGTGTTTCCCACCAAGGGTTTCTCAAACAAGTACTAAGTCATGTTTTGTTTGGCGATACTTATTTTACTCGCTGAACTGCAACTCAATTTATAACATTTTGTATTTTTTTTTCTGGATTTTTGGTTAATATTCTGTCTCTATCATTTAAAATACACCTATGATAAAAATTATAGATCCTTAATTTCTTTGTAAGTGGGCAAACTTACAAAATCTACAGGGGATCAAATAATTATTTCCCCCACTGTAGATCCAGGGAATATCCAATTTGCCTTTTGGGGGATCAGGAAGGAATTTTTCCCCTGCTGGATCTTGCTTTGCTGGGGTTTTTTTTTTTTGCCTTCCTCTGGATCAAGTGTGGGTATAGGATTGTGTATATAGGATTGCATTTTTTTTTCCTTTTTTATAAGTTGAACTAGATGGTCTTTTTTCAACCAGATTAACTATATAACTATGTAACAGCCAAGGAAGGAATTAAATGTCATCTGAAACCAGCTTTACCTGTACTATGGAGTAGCCATAAAGCCATCAAAATTACATTGTATTTGAAGTTATTTTGATGCTTATATATGACTTGTAGTTAAATCTGACCTCCAGGATAAGCAAATATTGCCTAAATAAAAGAGTTGTGTGTGTTCTTCCTTGAAGCTTGTTGTGTTTTGTGCATGATTTCCATATCATTGCAGTAATTCAGTGTAAATATTTACTTTCTTCCTTTAACTTCCCTGACTGTATGATTATTTCAGATTTTGGGTGCTGAAAGCGGTACCATTATTTTGCATGGAAATTTGGCGTTTTATATTGTAGGCCTGTAATTTTTAGGAATAACTCACTGAAATCTGTCCGAACAAAAGTCTAGTAAACATCCCGGGTAGGATAAAACTTGAAACACAAAATCATGAATTATAATTTAATAAATAATCATAATAATATAATATAATAATAATACATTTAATTCAATAATATAATCAAACCAAAAACACTGAATTTTGAAATATAACGCCATGTTTGCACATCACTGAGCAAAGTCACAAAATCATTTTCAGTGTCTGACGAATTTCCCCACAAATCATTATCACTCAATTCTGCAAGTGGTTCTAATTTACTATCGCTGTTCTCTAGCCACTCTAAAACCACTTTTGACCTAAAGGGACGCATTTTGGACGCCATGGACATTTCTCAGTTTCCAGGCAGAAAGAACACTAAAAAATGCGGGCAGGGCACAGGACAAAGCACTAGGGACAAAATGTATGTGAAATGGCTTGATACAGTAATGTTTTACTATGTGATTTTAGTGAATGTCACTTTTTGTCATTTTCAAATTTCCCGCCAGTTCCTGTCCCCTGTACGTCCTGACGCTCGCAGGGGACGGAACCCAGATGACAGATGCCGGCATCTGCTAGATTACATTGCCGGGGACACTGCAGGAGGGACATTGCGGGAGCACAGGACAAGGTAAGTGATCGAGGGATCGCGGAGCAACGCCACATGGTAAGCCCGAGTGCAGCTCGGGGTTACCGCTTGTGGTACTGAAACTTTACCCCGAGCTACACTTGGGAATACCGCCAGGGAGGTTAATAAGGACCAGTCACTACTGCTCTCTCCTTGGTCAGAGAGACTGGTCTTGTCCCTGCCTCCATTTGTAGTTTTCTGCAGGTGGTCTGTAGTGGGTGGAACCTGCTGGGTCTCTCTCTGCTCTGGCTATGTACATGTCAGTGCTACTTTTAGAAGGTCAAATTACCCAGTGTACCTAAATGCAGGAAGAATCATATAAATTATCCATTACCATATAAACAGATCCAACCAAATGGTACTGGTAATCAACTACACGTATCCAATAATCTTTTTTAATCTTTAATCTTTATTTTTCTGCTTTGATTCATTCTCAGCTAGAGCACTGAACCCTGGGAAATGTAGTTCCAGCCAGAAGGGATGCCATTATTAATACAGAAACAGGAGACTACAAAACCCAGTGTGCCTGAATGCAGGCAGGATCATATAAATTAAAATGCCATGGAAAGCGCAGGGCAGTTGGGGTAGGGAGTCACCAGTGTATGTAGAGGGGAAGGTCCTGTCTGGAATTGCTCTAGGCTCCTCATTTTAGTGGACAGAGTTAGAGATTATGCTGATCTTATCATAATTTAAAGTAGCTGTCAGAGGATGAACCATGGAAGAACTGGCATAACTACCAACACTCAACATAGTCATGCTAATGTGCACAGATATGGTGGGCGTGTGCCAGTGTGCATGCCCGTGTGTATGTGCACAATCCCCGTGTGCCATGGCGTAGACAAAGCATGACAGATCCTGGCTCCCAGTGGCCTTTTTAAAGATAGCAGGCTGGCCCACAAGTTGCTGGATAATTTTGGACCTCAAGGTCCCAAGTCTCATTTCAGGGTGACCCCAAGGTACTAATTGAAAATGATAAATCCCTATCTATTGATGTGCATATCCAAAGTGTCAGTGGTGTTGAGGTTTTTGCTGAGGTCAAGGTAAGAACAGAGGACCCGATACAACCTGTGGCTTCTTTGGAGGTAGAGCTACAGTATTATTAGATAGTCTCATGAAACAAGATGGGATTAATATTATCCACCAGTGAATTTTGACTGCATACTATGTTGGGTTTTAGCAGATGTGAACAACAGGTATTTTGCTGCAGCAAATTAGGAATTATTACATTTTAGGTGGTTTTATGCAAGTAGTAAATAAAGATATTTTGTTTCTTCATAAGTGCAGGAAAGTTATCTATTTTCATTTATATATACAGTATATTTAGATTCCTATAATTATATTCCTACTTATATTTAGAACTTTATTTATATGCCTATATATATTGATAAAAGCTGTAGTAGTATATAATGGAGGTTATTTATTAAAAGATTGTGGATATTATTTAAAACCCAGTGACTCAAGTTTTCAGAAATTTTATAAAAATGTGAAAGAGGTCAGTTCAATCTAGTAACATTGTGTGTTTTAATAGCTAGGGGTACACATACCCACATGGTGGTGTACTATATATTTAAAGTTTATCTATAACCAAAACTTTTTAACACACACTTTGGATAGAGAGAGGAAGAAGTAGAACCCCAGGCAGGTTTTGCTGCTCTCAGAGGCTCCATTGGAGAGATTTCTTCACTTCTAGTCTGGTAACAAGGTTGTTCCCTGCACTGGAAGTGAAGGAAAATCTCTTTACCAGCAACAGACAGAAATACATTTTTGAAAGCCAAATAGAAGAAGGCTAGAACAGCTTGTCATCCTTGTCTGTTTCTCTGTTCTCTCTCTAATGTCTCTAACAGAGACCAGGATAGCAGTGCCCACAACCATAGAGGTCAGTCAGGGCTCTTTTAAAAGCTTAATTTATTGCTTGTAACAAATCAGTAAGAAATTGAAAGTCAATATCCTTGTTACAGATTCATTTAAAAACATTAAATCAATGTGATGGGTCATTTAGAGCAAACAATAGCAAATTCTGTATTTCTAATACACTAATGTACTTCTAGTACTTATAATATACTTTAATACACATGAACACTTACTCAGTCTGAGTCAGATACTCAAACAATATGCTTCCAGTATATACTGTAAATTCTCAACAAATTGCAATCCATCTGGATTTGACATTTTGGTAAATTAGGCAAAACAAATCACCCAGTAATCCGAATTCAATCAATTGTAGGTAGCTTCCTATAATAATATCTTCATATTTACTAGACCAGAGGAGTCTATTGATTGCTTACAGAACCACATTAAAGGAGAAATGCAGGAAAAAAAAAACAAAAAAAATCTATACTCACCTATATGGCTGCAGCATCAGTCTGACTGGCATTGGGAAGGAGGGGGGGCAGGAATAGCTGTTTCATGCTCTCAGCGGCTCACTGAGAGGCTGATCAGCATCTGTGTGGATATTGACATTATTGTTAGGATACATCCAGAGACTGGAGGGGCTTGGGGACGTCAGCCAACAGCGGGCTTTAGCCTGTTGTCGGCTGGTTATGGGTCCCAGGAGTGCACAAGTAAGTGTACTTCTGTGACCCACAAGTTTAAATCATCACTTGCCTGTCTATAGCATGCTTTATAAGCATGTGCACAGGGTGTGCTGAGGGTGCCTGTGCACACCCTAATCACCCAATGCACCAATGGCATATCATTCATGTGTGAAGTGTGTGTGGGGCACACGGGCCCCGAGGGAAAGAGGGCCCACTGTGCCCTGACATACACTGTCCACATAGAGTAAATAAAAAAAAGTCAACCACATTTTCTTGGGGCCATAGACTTCTATGATATCCCAGTTTTGATGCACTTTCTGAAAGCACACCAAAACCGTGCTTTCAGTTTTTGGTCTCAGAAAGCACACCAAAACCATAGGACAAAATAGAAACCTATGGCAAACTCCAGCTAACTCACACAAAAACCGCAAGTACACTACCCTGCATACATAGTGCTGGAAAACTGCATGTGAAAGCATTAGGCCCCTTACACAATTTGGCTGCATCCACTATTCCCTGCAGCTTTGAGCTTTGATGTGCCCAAAATGGAATAGGCTGCACACACGTACAGTGGGGATCGAAAGTTTGGGCACCCCAGCTAAAAATTTGTATTAATGTGCATAAAGAAGCCAAGGAAAGATGGAAAAATCTCCAAAAGGCATCAAATTACAGATTAGACATTCTTATAACATGTCAACAAAAGCTAGATTTTATTTCCATCATTTACACTTTCAAAATAACAGAAAACAAAAAAATGGCGTCTGCAAAAGTTTGGGCACCCTGCAGAGTTATTATCTTGTACTGCCCCCTTTGGCAAGTATCACAGCTTGGAAACGCTTTTTGTAGCCAGCCAAGAGTCTTTCAATTCTTGTTTGAGGTATCTTTGCCCATTCTTCCTTACAAAAGTCTTCCAGTTCTTTGAGATTTCTGGGCTGTCTGTCACGCACTGCTCTTTTAAGGTCTATCCATAGATTTTCAATTATGTTGAGGTCAGGAGATTTTGACGGCCGTGGCAAAACCTTCAGTTTACGCCTCTTGATGTAATCCCCTGTGGATTTCGAGGTGTGTTTAGGATCATTATCCATTTGTAGAAGCCATCCTCTCTTTAACTTCAGCTTTTTCACAGATGGCATCAAGTTACCATCCAATATTTGCTGAAATTTTATTGAATCCATTTTTTTTTCCTTCTACTCGTGAGAGTTCCCTGTGCCACTGGCTGCAACACAACCCCAAAGCATGATTGATCCAACCCCATGCTTAACAGTTGGACAGAGGTTCTTTTCATTAAATTCTGTGCCCCTTCTTCTCCAAACGTATCTTTGCTCATTCCGGCCAAAAAGTTCAATTTTAACCTCATCGGTCCACAGAACTTGTTTCCAAAATGCATCAGGCTTGTCTATATGTTCATTTGCAAAGTTCAAACGATGCTTTTTGTGGTGAGAACGTAGAAGAGGTTTTCTTCTGATGACTCTTCCATGAAGACTATATTTGTACAAGCATCTCTTTATAGTGGAATAGTGTACCACAACTCCAGTGTCTGCCAGATCTTTCTGGAGGGATCGTGCAGTCAAACGTGGGTTTTGAATTGTTTTTCTCACAATCCTGCGAGCTGTTCTGTCTGATATTTTTCTTGGTCTTCCAGATCTTGCTTTAACTTCTACTGTTCCTGGTGACTGCCATTTCTTAATTACATTCCGAACAGAGGATATTGACATCTGAAAACGCTTTGCTATCTTCTTATAGCCTTCTCCAGCTTTGTGAGCATCAACTATTTTCAGTTTCAGTTTTCTAGACAACTGCTTAGAAGAACCCATGGTGCTGATTGTTGGGGCAAGGTCAGATCAGTCTGGGCATTTAAAACCTTTGAGATTGACATCACCTGGTCTTCCCAGACGGTGATTGAGAACAATCCATGACACTGGCAGGTCTCAGCTTTGCAAAGGGGGCAGTGCATGCTATAAATTCTGCAGGGTGCCCAAACTTTTGCAGATGCCATTTTTTTGTTTTCTGTTATTTTGAAAGTGTAAATGATGGAAGTAAAATCTAACTTTTGTTGACAAATTATAAGAATGTCTAATCTGTAATTTGATGCCTTTTGGAGATTTTTCCATCTTTCCTTGGCTTCTTTATGCACAATAATACAATTTTTTAGCTGAGGTGCCCAAACTTTCGATCCCCACTGTATATTTACAGGTAAGGTGTGTGTGAGTGCTGCCTATCTCCTAACAATCCCTTTCCACAACTTCCTGGATTTCATGCATGCTTTGTAGTTTGGTAATTCCTTTTCTAGAGATGTCTAGTGATATCAATTGGAAAAAAAAAAAAATTACTAAGGTATGTACTACCAAAATATGCAGCATGCTATTTGCCATACAATGACATAGGAAATAATGGGTTAAAGCAAGTTCACGGCTGCGGTAGTAGTAGCTTGGTATCCATTTTACCAGCCTGGAAAGGGTCTTCATATAAAAGTGATCCAGGTGCCTCTAGAGCCGCCTGATCATTTTAATGGAGCTCTAAAGGTTTTCCCCTGCTGGCTCTGCTCACGGTGGCTCCCGGACTCTCCTGTTCCTCTGGGCTGCTCTGGACCACAAAAAACATTCCTGCAGCAAGAGTAGTACATAACATCCATTCCCTGATTCCTCCTCCAACTAATAAACCCAGAAGCGATGTGTATTACGTCACTTCCATGTTCACACCTGTCATTCCTCGGCTACTACAGCCAAGGATGCAGCAAATCAGGCACAATCTGTGCTTATCAGGGGTGGACTGACCATTTGGGAACTCGGGCACTGCCCGAGGGCCCGGGGTCAGTAGGGGGCCCCAGGAGATGCCCCTGGTACCTTTCATAGGCTTTTTTGGGTGTGGTTTGAGTGTGGGTGAGGAAACAGGGGCCCCATAATCCCTTATTGCCCGGGGGGCCCATGAGTTGTCAGTCCGCCCCTGGTGCTTATTAGCTGCATTCGAGGGCCTGTCACCTACCCATACAATCACACAGGGGGCATGTTAGTCCCGTTGTGAAAGCAATAATGTTAAATAAAAAAAAAAAAATTACAGTGTAAAAAATGAATAAATGTAAAAATAAAATAAGAATTTAAAAATTTGTAAAGCATAAAATAAAAAAAATAATTGTGAAAGCAGCCTATCCCCCGCATATACACTCAAATGAATACATGAAAAATAAAACAAATTGTGCGGTAGACAAATGGTTAACCTTTTGGAGCCTGCTTCATCTGCGATTGTATAATTCCACTGTGTATTAGCGACAGTGACATTATATCTTTTCTTAATACATTTCACAAGCCTTGGAGTTAGTTCTACGTTGACTTGAATACCAGAGAAAGCTCTTCTCTTTTATTCCCATTGGAATGATATTATTACCACATAATGTGAGGTCCTAACACATACAAAGGAGAACAGGAAGTAGAGATGTCTGCATTTCCTCACATTCATTCTCTCATGACTGTACTCATTTAATTGTGCATTGATTCCACTGAATGCAGCATCAATAACAACAGACGCTTGCCTTGGCACAGACACAACTAAACCTCTTTCCAAAGAGGCTTGATGAGTAGACATTATATTCATCAGTAATAATGAATGCTAAATAACTAAGCTACAATATCCATTCCAAAATACCCAGCCTGTCTTAATGACTGCTAAAAAGGTTACATTTTTACTAGATTTTATCCTCAAAACCAGGACCATCTGCTGCCAGAATATGCTATGTATGTTCTGGGAAGAGTTCAGTATAATATACAGTACTTATAGTGAAAAGTAGATGTGTGTTTTTTTAAACAATTCTTATGGAGATGTCACACAGACACTGTGGGGTAGATTTACTAAAACTGGTGCACTCAAATTCTGGTGCCGCTGTGCATGATAGCCAATCAGCTTATAACCTCAGCTTGTTCAATTCATCTTTGGCAATATTACCTGGAAGCTGATTGGTTTCCATGCAGAGTTGCCCC